GTATTGTGCACGGAATGTTAGTAGGATCAGATAAACTTCATGACCATATTTGCTAATATTGGCAACACTAGTGCAGAAGTTCGCTAATAAGCAGAGTGACAGCAACGATATTAGGACACCCTGGAAAATACTCAACAGCATTTGAACCAGACGAGTTGCCTTGGAAACGCTCATAAACACAGGAGACCTGAGAGAAGCGACAAGAACGCGAAGTATTAGGCTGAAGTGAAAAGTTGCTTCGATTTTTGAAATGAGATATTAAACGGAAGCTATTCTGTTTCACGGTACCTTCTTATTTACCTATTATTCCTAATGTTTACCATTCTTGCAGGTCATATGAAAGGTGATGTAAAAATTGTTTGCAAACTCGGCCCCTTGCACTAGCCATCCACAGAACATATTAAGCATATTTCGTCTCATGAAAACATGCAACATCAAACTCCTCTCAGGACGTTGCATGGTCTTGACGCTTTAAGCGAAGGAATATAAAAAAGTGGCTTTTCAGTATGGAATTGAAGAGTCCAGTCTACAGAATGAGGCGCAGAATGAACGACTGAAAGGACTCGTCCCGGGGTAATTCGACGAGGTTGCTTGGACTAATCTTTTCACTGTGTCTTAACCTTTATCATTCAGCCGCCGCTCGTGACTCAAGGAGGACTAAAATATCAGTGCCGAAAAGCCCGTTCTGTACGATCTTACTGCAAAATATTGTCAATATGTCAACATTTTGGGGTCTTTGCTTGCAAGATAACTTCCATTTTTCTCTTTGAACGTGGCTGTTGCTGGTGAGGAGAAGGGGATGCTTTACCATAATGGTAAACGACACCGTCGTGGTCACTAGATCAACCGTGAAAACCGACCTGTCAGCCAAATAAGAGAAGACCGTCATTTCAAAATGATCATGTAGTGTATGGTGGCAGCGACGGTTACTGGTTTTTTGTCTCTTGTTCGTCCAGCTTTACTAAACTTATGCTGTCACTTCATCGGGCAACTTCGGGTTCGCAGATCGTAAACGGTCTTACCTACTCTTCCTCCCTCTCCTCCAACTAGGTTCACTGCTCGCCCTTTCCTCCGCTCTTCCTTCTTCTCCCTATCTTCCTTTCGATGTGTTCACCGGATACTGAATCAGCAAAAGCAAATTTTGCATTTGGACGGGGGTATATATACACGTACAAAAATATGAATGAAATGAGTCTCGCAAAGATGAAAAAAGCAGTAATTGTCGCTGGAATCCCTTAAAAAACATGCAAACATAGGCCTACACTCCCATTTCTTAGTAGATGGCCACTTAGCCCTCCTTGTCGGCCAAAATGTGTTCAATGCTAAAGGACATCCTACGAGTTCCTGAGGTTGTATGACCACTGCGGTCCGCTCTTCGATTGTCCTGTTGGGTCAAATGATTTTGCTCTAAGGAACCAACTGTTGCTGTGTCAGCGCAAACTGAAGTCCCTGTGATCGGGGGGAACCCAGCCCACAAACATTGCGGTGGTGGTGGTCGGGGCGGTTGAAGAGTTGAAGCTTTACTTTCTCCCCTCCGCTCCGCCTGCTCTTCATGCTTCAGAAGCTCTCCGTCGGGGGTCATTTTCAGACTGGGAGCCTTCTCGAGGGCGGGTAGCGATAACGAAAGGTCGCCAGTAATACTGTAAGATCTCGGAGTCCTTGCGTCTTCGATTCCCTCATGGAGAGAAGTTAAACCCATGTAGGAAATATTAAGTGGTTTCAAAAGGTCTGGCCACTTCTCTTTTTGAACTTGTAGCATAACCTGTTTAAACAGTTCATTGGAGAGAAGTGGGTGTAGGAGACAGGCTGCATGCATTCGGATGCGTTTAAAGCGTTTCTTGCGCCGCAGAAAACTGCCATTCTCAAACATGTTATATGAATTGGGGTCCAGTGTCCAGTAATTGCCCTTACCCAAATTTCCGGGTTCGCGGGGTACCTTGACAAAGCAGTCATTTAGGGAGAGATTGTGTCGAATGGAGTTTTGCCAGGCTGGAAAGCGTTCGCGGTAGTACTCGAACTTACGATTGATATATTCACAGATTCCAGAGAGTGTTAGTCGTCGGGAGGGGGAATCCATTATGGCCATTGTGATGAGAGCAATATAGGAATAGGGGGGCTTTGTGGATTTGCTGCGTACACCCCTTCTGGAGAGGACACGGTAACTTTTCGTCTCTACGCGCGCTAAAAGACCCAGATCCAAGGGCAGGTCATTCTCCCGAGGGGTGGAGAAAAATACATCGGCACTGGAGACCCCAGCTTGCTTGAAGGTCATCGGAGGTAAGTGATGAACACAGTCAGCGTCACAGACGCCCTCGGGCTTGTAGAATGTGGATAGAGGGCCTATTTGTACGCCAAAGGTTGCCCCGGACGCACAGGCAGATGGGGGTCTGCCTGGCTTTTTTGTTATTTGAAGATGCTCATTAACCTTGCATTCCATTTTCCCACATACAGGGCGACAAATGTTGGGTTCGATGACATCTGTAAGCATAATCGCGGGGTGTACGCTCGCAGTAAACGGCGCACCCACGCGTACCACTTAAATAGGCCCTTTGTGTGAAACGGAATCTTGGTGGCCTGTCTCCCCTTCGGCCTACCTCGCCACCAGCTGACTGGCTATTTTCCCCGCTTCGCGTTGACTGGTTAAAATAGAGCCAATCAGCGTCAAGTGCGCAAACTCGCCCTTTTCAAGGCCAGGAATAAACAGGTTGGGCGAAAAGTATAAACGCAACTAGCGCACAACGCTCAGGTAGAAGCAGCTCCCCAGAACATTCGCTTGGAATTCATAATGATTGCTGGAAATCATGGACCCCAAATTGTGGTTTAAAGCGTATATAAGTAGCTAAGTGTGGGAAGGCGTAAAAAAGGAAATGTGGATAGAATTCTTCATAGGGCAAACTGGTTGAGAGATAATCTTGTCGCTGATATCAGATAACATAAGACCCAAAATGGAAAATAACGGATTGTCGGACATCTCGCATAACAAGGTGTGGACATGAGACGACTAAGATAGCTTCGCCCTGAGGGAAAGTAGTGATGGCACTATATGACTAACTGCGTTTTAGGTGAGACTTGATATCCTCCTTCTCTCACTGAGCTTCTAACTAATAGCCTACTGAATGAACATGAACAGTGAAGCCGCTCCATGTATGGAACTACTAGCAGCTCATTGTCCTGGCGAGACAATGAGTAAGGGAAATCGAGGCATTTGGGATATAAGAACTATATAGTCAAGCTGAAGCCTTAAGACACCGCTGATACCCATTGCTTGTAAGCTTAAGCTCATGGATTTCACCGCTAGCTTCGCGGTGAGACCAGCTGAAGATGTTTAACATAAGACGACAAACTGCAACTGTGATTCTACGTTTATCAGGACATGCAGACACAACAACTTCGATAGCATAAAGGATTTATTTTAAAACCCGCGAAAACAGTCGATGAAAACAGGGAACAAGCCACCAAAATTCTCCGTGATAAAGCACCCACAGGACCTATGACGGTATCTTAAAACTATATATGTTTTGAAGGAGACACGATCGCCGGGACAAGAGCTTTATTAGCCGGACGTTTCGGATTCCTGCTCGAATCCATCATCAGAGAAAAAAAGCAGAAACGGGTGGTTGCTGCACAAGGGGCTGCGGTATTTATAGGATGCAGTAGCCATGCTACCGCATACCTATGAACATTCACGGCTACCCCCTTCATCCGGGATCGTCGCACTTGGTGTGATCATTGCTTGCTGGCCGACATTCGAGTCGATAATTGCTGCAATTTCATCACGTGCATTGGATGTTGGCGTGATGATTGCTCGACCATCTGACGCATCGACCTCGGTGTTGGGAAGAGTGTTCACCTCTGCGCTCCCCGCATGACTTGTTACCCCGCCTAGGCGAAGTTTCAGTACGGAGTATGGAATGGGAAGATTGTTGCACTTGTTGATGGACTGGGGGCCAGTAAGCCATGATTCCAGTAGCTCCCGGCTCACTCGGTTGTCACCTCTTGCGAGAATTTCGGCCTCATCGAATTCGAATGTGTGGCCGGATCTCGTCGAATGAGCCGCAACTTGAGAGCTGGCGTCATTTCTGCGCACCGCTGTCGCGTGTTCGGCCATTCTCGTTCGGAGCTGTCTTCCGGTTTCTCCGACGTAGTTGCTTTGTCCGCAACTGCACCAGATCCGATAAACGACTCCAGACGTTTCTAGCCGTGGCAGTGGGTCTTTCGGTTTCATGATCAGACGCCTGATGGTTGCCTCCGGTCTGTGTGCCACTCCAACCCCAAGTGGTGCGAGAAGGCGGCCGACAGCTTCCGAAACGTTCTTGACATACGGAAGTGCCCGCCAAGATTTGGTGTCCGTGCGCTTAGGCCTTTCGTCCCTTTTGCGTATGCACCGGTCGACGAAGTGGCGCGGGTAGCCATTGGCTTTGAAGACCCGTCGGAGGTATTGTAGTTCGGCAATTTTGTCTTCCGGCTCACTGAAGTGCGTTTCGACACGCCGATAGAGCGTCCTTACACAACTGCGTTTGTGGCTGATTGGGTGGTTACTGTTGAAGTTCAGTACTTGCATCGTATTTGTCGCTTTCCTGAATACTTTGGTTTTTAGTTCACTACAAACCGAATTACACTCTTCTTTTGAGTATGAAATTGGAAGAAGACGTGATTTTTTACCGAATAAGTAAAAGAATGAATATTTTTATGCATGTTTTCCATTAAATATAATTGAATTTTCGAGGGCACCGAAAATCAATAAGAAAACTGCATACTATTTAAGTAGTCATTTTTTGCAGAGTATAGATCTTGCATGCAGCCGAAAATAAGTTCTTTCGAAAGCCGACACCCTGAGGTAACTGGATCATTATAGATTTATGCTGCATCCTGATTAGTTTTACAACAGTGTAGGCGTCTTAAATATACTTGGAAGCAAGACAGCTGTGTGGGCTAGTGCGTCGACAGCTGAAAACTCATTTTTTAGCGGACAGCCACGTGGGCGTGTTGGCGGTGTGGCTATTGAGAGTTCAGTAGGTCTGGACCTAGAAAATATTTTTTTGTTAAGCCTTGAAAGAAACATGTTGAAAATGCAACAGAACAGACGATATAAGGACAGATTTTTCTCCACAGTAGCTACCGCCAGGTATGCCGAGCCGTTGGTTAATGCCAAGAAAAAATTATACCCCAAGATAAAGTTCATAAATGAATATGAAGAAAGAAATGAGCTGGGGTTTTTTGAATTTACTCTTGCATCGGCTAGGAGACCGCTCCAATCCGAAACCGATTTAATGGAAGCCTAGTTGGAAATGGCAGAACCCGCATTTAGTGAGTTTAGTTCCACTTTAGAGAGGGACAGAGAGAGTGAGAGGGAGAGAGAGAGAGAGAAGGAGAAAGAGGACTTCATTTTTTGCTCTGTCCACCATTTCAACGCAGTTTTTTCGTCGATATGATGGAAAACAAGGTAAACTTCCTACGAGTTGGCACGCTGAGTGACGGTCAACACGAAAATTATCGTCACCCTAGGGAAGCACAATCCCTAGACCAGTGGGCATTTAATCCCTACTCAAAACGAAATAAAATCCTAAACCACTGAAACGAGGATTTTTCAGCCTGACTGGGCAAGTATACACGGCTGCTAACCATAGATTACCGAACTCCACGACCACCACCCAGGTCAGATCAATTAAAAATGTCTTGTTCGTGCAAGCCACCCCTGTGTTTATGAGCTTGTGTGTGTGGTTGTGGGTGCAGGTGTATTGTATGCAAACAGAGACAACCGACAGCTTGGTCGGACGGACACGTGCCAAAGTGAGTTTAAAAGGCGGAAAACTTGTCCGGTAGGTCAGTCAGAAAGCGACCATTGAAGGCTGGACACAGTGAACAAAAACGACAGCGAGAATTTCTCGAGGTTTGGTAGTCCAGGCTGTGGCAATCGTTGTGTCGATCTCGACGTGTCCAACGGGGGCCTGTTAGCACCGCACTAGGCCTCCGAGCACACCAAGAAAAAACAAAGGATCCAGACTCAGCCACAATTGGGTCATCATCCTCCCTTCCTTCAGCCCAGTGAACTGCAACCATTTATAGCCCACCACCGCTGTACGTCATCCTCCCCCCGCAGCTTATGAAGTCACGCTCTCTCTCTCTCGCTCTCTCTCTCTCTCGCTCGCTCGCTCGCTCGCTCTCTCTGTCCCAAGTATAATAAACTCGTCTCTCGTATGGTCAGTTTGAACCAGGGATGGATCTTGTTGACACTTAGAAGTCACTGGGAATACTTAACGTTTCCAAACACTCATACTTTCCTTTAATATGCATTAGTGTGGGTGGTTATGAAGAGCAGCGATTGCTGCGGTCGATCCAGATCGAAAAAGGGTTGGAGCGGATACCTACTGGTGTAAACTTTAGCCACCGCCTTCTATGCAAACTTAGCCGTGCAGGAGTGCGAGGTAAGCTTCTGATGTGGATTCGGAGCTTTGTAATCAGCCGCTCTCAAGCCGTCCACGTCAGTGACCAACAATCTGCCGAGGTTGCCGTTAGGAGTGGTGTTCCCCAAGGCTCTGTTCTTGGCCCTACACTGTTCCTCGTATACGTCAATGACTGCGCAAAAGAACTGAATTGCGATGTCGCAATGTTTACCGATTACATAAAGATCTGGATTACCATACGAAGCGAAGTTGACGAGGCGCGGCCGCAGACAAATCTGGACAACCTCGAGCAATGGTCGAAAGACTGGCTTCTACCGTTCAACGTAAACAAGTGTACTTTCCTACGCGTCGGCAGAACCAGTTCCCCTAACCACACGGTCTACCGTCTGACTGGCAAACCACTGCAAGAAGTCGACGCCCAGAAGGACTTGTGTGTATGGATCACAACCTCGCTTAAGCCTCCGCTGCAATGCTCAAAGGTAGCCAAGTCGGCGATGTCCATTCTATACCTCGTCAAACGGGCGTTCTCCTCCTTTGATGAAGACTGTTTCGCCAAGGTCTTTCAAACTTTCGTGCGACCGCACCTGGAGTTTGCTATCCAAGCATGGAAACCCTGGACCGCCAAAGACTTGGGCATACTCGATAAAGTTCAACGGCGAGCAACGAAACTTGTATCTGGGCAGTGGTCACTACCCTACGAAACACGATTAGCTAATCTTGACCTCTTTCCTTTGAGTTACAGACATCTACGTGGGGACCTGATACAAGCTTTCCGCATCGTGCGCAGTCAGGGGCGCTGCCTCGCATCTGGAGACTTCCTCGGGTTAGCGACTACGACTAACCTGAGAGGCCATCCACCCAAACTGCGTGGGGCTGGTGCCCGGCTAGACACCCGAAAGTTCTTCTTCTCAAACAGAGTGGTTGCGACTTGGAATGCCTTGCCTGAGGATGTTGTTATGTTGGGATCCGTAGATACTTTTAAACGGATGCTAGATCAGCATTGGAGCGCGCACCACAATAACGCCGGACTACG